TTCTAGGATAAAGACAAATTCAGAAAAGCTTTAAGCTACCAAAGTTATAATGGTGTAGGACCTGCTACAAGTAACACTGTTTTTAAACCTATTGTCAAAAGTCTGCATCAGGTTATTTCTCCTCTTCGGAGGATTCCATAGATCTTCCTCTGTTGCCTGTTGGTGGACTGCATCATTCAATAGTAAGAAATGACCATTTCATTTTTAAATGAGACCCACTCTTTGTTTCAGAAAGGTGATTAATGATTCAGTTAGAAAACAGGGAAAAGAGACCTTAGAAGGTAAGAACACAAATTTCTAGGAATCGCACATATCCTATCATACCTCCGAGAGACGAGAGGTGTGTTAGTGAGGACTTCTGATATTAAGCACACATGTGCATGCACATACACACACAGATGGACTTCTTTAAAGCTGTTTTGTGAAAAAGTGAAATTCTCAACTACACGAATGCTAGTGGCTAGCACATTAGTAAAACATTTCTGTTGACCTCACTACCTGCACAAACTGCTTCTGAACTTTGTTATGCCTTATGGCACATTATTCACTCCAGTATCCCCTAGCTGCTTTGACTCTGCTTCCAAAGTCCCTGCTTCAGCCCTGCCCTCCCATTCCCTAGCCAGCACCTCCCTTGCTGAAACTGTGGCCCAGTGTTCCTTCACAGCACAGGCACTGTCATTGTTCCCAAGTTCCAGTGTCTGTGGGAAGGATGGTGGGTAGGTAACCAGTCCTGTCACTGTTCTGCTTCCACAAGTCTCCCAGGCCACACAGATGATATTTGGAAGATACTACACAGGAGCAGCATCACTCTCAAAGTCATTAGGGTAAACGTGTTTACCTTAGTTGAAATCAGCTGAGATAACTTTATTCAAATAGCAGCCTTGTGTGGCTCAGTGGCGTGACTTGAAGATTACGCATGATTTCCAATGAGGATGTTCTGAATATAATCTGAGAATGGAGTTTTCATCTTTTCTCAGACCAGAGCCATTTTGTAGAATCTTTGTGGCTTAAATATGCTCTTTTACCTATGAAGTTATTTATGACTATGTGTCAGGTCTTGTTCTGGCTGTTTGTTACTGGCTGGTAAAAACAAGAACATTTTGTTTAAATGCCTGAATGAGCTGTTAACTGCTGCCATCAGTCCTCTCCAGATTGTTTTGTTTCGGCTTTAGGATCCTATGTAATTTTTCTGTATCATGAAAATTTTACATGGTTATGTTTATTTAAAGCTTTGTTTACACTGCTCTTTCTGCTGTCTTGGTTCTAACACCCCATTTTCTGGTGGTATGCTCTATCTCACCGCTGCCGCACACTGCAGAGCTGGATTCGCTGTTGATGCTGGTGTCTGTCAGGGACTCACTGATCTGATATTGGATTTAGGTTCTTCCTTGGGAGTACACAACTATGAATGTATTTACTTCCAACATTTCCCAAAACGAACCTAACCTTAAAACTTAAATTGTAAGTATTCTGAAATCGGGAAATATTTATTTTAAATGAGATCAGGTAGTGTTGCTTTTTAAAGCATAATAAATACATGTATTGAAAACAAATTGTGAAAAATGGATTTTCTTTAAATGACAAGGTTTTCTTCTATTTCTTGGGTTGGAGACTAGGGTTGGTTTACAGCCTGGCCGGTTAGGAGCTCAGCCTTCAAGGGCATGGGTGGGGATGGAGTCCTGGCCTCTAGAAGCCAGTACTGTGCCTTTAGTTATAAAGTGCTCAGGAAACTGCACTGAGAAGTCATTTCCACAAAGCCTTGATGTCTACTAAACAGAGCTGATTCCAGTGCTTCCACACCAGGGTCCGAGTTGGGCTAGCTGGTAGCTCCTACCTCATTCCTTACATGTGGGAGTGGCATTCACTTCCAATGCCAGAAACCCTGGGTCCTCAGAGGACTCTGTGATAGAACAAAAAAGACATGAGAAATCATGAATCTAATCTACTCCATTACTGATGAAGCTGGGACCCCAGAGCAGACCATAATATGGACTCTCAATCCCACATTCTTTCCCTAAATCCTAATGTAAGTATTTTCACTTTTTCATATTAACTAATATGTAAGACCTATCCCTTGGTGAGTTGGTGCCAATCATAAGTGCCAGTGCTAAGTCTTGCAACATCTGGGCAACTCCAACTTACATACATATTTATCTGCAGATGGGAGCTTGGCCACAGTACAGAGCCAACAGATGTATGGATAATTCCAATAGTGAAAAGGTTTTGTTTTTTTTTAAATATAAGATCATTTTATTTTTATGGAACTTTTTAGGAGTTTGGTTTAATTTTATTTGCTAATCCTCAGTAAAATTAGTAAAATCATAAATCATAAGTTGGATGGGTCAGAGAAGCAGCCATGACTGCTAGGCAGCATTTAAAGGCTTTTTATGAAAGGGAAATAATATATGAAAGGATGTGATTCACTAGGTTAGAGAAAGTATATGTGTTTCAGGATAGGAAGGACTAGACATTAATAATTAAGGTGGTTGTTTTTTAAAGAGGTGAAAGGGTTAAAAAAAGAAAAAGAGGGATAGAAGGAATTACAGGAAGACCTTTGGGGTGGAGCGTTAGTTTCTGGTTTGGAGTCTGACCTGACTCGAAGCCTCATGTGGCCAGCCACGCCTCTTGCTGCCTTTTAAATGGTCAACAGAAAGCCTGTTATGAATAACACAAGCAGTCATGACACTAAACTATCCAGACTTCATTCATGTAGAAGACACGGGGAAAGATGGCAAATAACAAGTCTGCTATAGCATTACAAAATAGAGAATTCTGGAGTTTGATAATAGGTATATGACAGCTTCTTTGTGTACCCAATATAATATCTTTATTTTAGACAGGATCTCCCTGTAGTGCTAGCTGGCCTGGAACTCGCTATGTAGACCAAGATGGCTTTAGTCTCACAGAGATCTGCCTGCCTCTGCCTCCTGAGTGCTGGGATTAAAGGCATGTGCCACCATGCCCAGCTTCCTAATATAATTTCAATAGAATAATGACTTTTTTCAGCAATAAACCATGTAATCAAGAACTCGGTGAACACAATAAACACAACCTGAAGTTTTTAATACACCAAAACTTGAAATCTGGGTATCACTGAGTGATTATCACTGAAGAGCTTATCTTAGAAGGCTTGAAAAACAGTAATGAGTAGCTGTGGCCTTCCTACAACTGGCTTAAATGCTATTTCTTTGAAATTATGTACATTTTTCTATAACATTTACATTATAGCTTTTGGCTATTTTTGCTTCACAAAATCTTTATTAAACTTAAGTGATTGTACTGAGTATATGATCTGAGGACATATTAAGTTTATGATGGCAGGGGTATTTATTTTCGTTTACTAGTGTTTTCCAAGCATCTAGAATAGTGCTTGGTTCATGGTAGATGCTCAAAATATTTGATGAATGAATGAATCTTAACCAACCAAAACATGCCTTAAAGCAAGTACCTCTCTCCAAATGTTGGGAGAATTCTCAACCTGCTTCCAGCTTTTTCCCATGCTTACCCTGGGCAGGTCTGCTGTGTTCACTGAGACTTGATTTCATATTCCACATTAGCTTTCAGGCAATCAACAGATTTCTCTCATTTAATGCCAGCTCAGAAAGTTCTCATTCCTTAAAGAAAATAGATTTGGAGCTGGAGAGATGGCTCAGTGGTTAAGAGCACTAGCTGCTCTGGCAGAGGACCCAGGGTTGGTTCCCAGCACCTGCATGGAGGCTAACAACTCTAGTTTCAAGGAATCTGATGCCCTCTTCAGGCCTCTGTGGGCATTGCACAATATGGGTGCACTTCTATAATATGCAGGCAATACACTCATACACATAATAAACATAATTTTTAAATAGATAATAGATTTATCCCAAGAGTGAAATACATACTCTGTGCTTAAAAAACAGTATCTGAGATGTACTTAAAACATACAAACATCCCTTCAGCCAGGACATGTTTGGTGATACAGAAAGTAAACTGACCTCTTCTACTGACTTAACCTACCTTCCTTTTTTCCTTTTTCCTTCCTTCCCTCCCTCCCTCCCTCCTCCGTTCCTCCCTCCATTCCTCCCTCCCTCCTTTCCTCTCCTTTCCCCTTCCCCTTCCCTTTCCTTTTCCTTTTGTGAGATAGGATCCCAGGTAGCCCAGGCTGGTTGTTGTGTAGCCAAGAATGATTTTGAACTCCTGATCCTTCTGCCTCTGCTTCACAAGTGCAGGGATTATAGGTCTCCATCACTGTGCCTAGCTCACTGATCTACCTTAAATTGCCATAATTCTGATTACAAGCCAGGTAAGTAAAGGCAACACTTATAAAAACAGTGTTACTAATCTTGTTTTAAAATAAGGACTGATAACATAAATGAGATATGTATTAAACCAACTCAATGCCATCAGCTTTAGATATTTTTATACTAAGTACTAATAGGAGTCTAACATAATTTTAACATTTCTTAAAAGTAGACAGTCTCAGCTTGTGCAACAGAATGAAACCATACCAAATTGTTCTCAGTAGGCAAAGATATAACAGTTAAATCTCAGCAATAGAAACAGTATATGTATATTTTTAAATGTTTTGTTTCTTGATCATTTCATTTAAAAAAGTCAGCCAAGCCCAGCTGGTCCACACAATTTTATATGAAAACAGAGGCCTCAGTTTCTGTGCAAGAATAAGGAAAGTACTATGTGCATGTTACACTTAATGCAATACACATAATGAAGCTTTAATTTTAAAGTGGACCTAAAGAAAACATTTCCAGCAAAGAAAAAGAAAGCATTTATAGACCAGCAGAGTTGCGGGTGATGGTTATGGAGAAGCAGGTTGTGGCAATGTGAACAGCAGTCTGTGACAGCTGTCCAGAGGAGCCCTGTCACTCCATCCCTGGACCACTATACTGTGCTAATGAAGAAAGTAAAGAGGAGCACGTGCACAGAGCATCACCCTTCCAAAAGGTGTCAGGCAGAGCACAGGACAGACCATGGAACCATTTGTAATTGTCAGAAAAACACATGTATCAGTGAAAAATACACAGTTTTCAATGCAGTTACATAGGACAAGTTTTGAAGTTGATTCTCATATTTGTTTCATGACTCAAATCAATTACCACTTTGTCTCCTTGTCTCTCCATTTTATGTCTAATTAAGACTATTAGTTCAAAAACAATAAAGACAAACTAGTTCACTTAAGAAACATGAATTAAATTGCTGGGTTTATCTACATCTTGTAATTTCAACTTTAAAAAAAGATTTGCCTTAAGGGAGCTGGCTCCCTTAGTGAAAGTGCCAAGACAATTTTATTCAATTGGTGACCAAAATGACAGCAGAAAACACTTGCTTGGTAGAATACAGAGCAAGCAGAAAACACTACTCATCAATCTGGAAAATGTACTTCCTTCTGTTGATATTAGTCAGCTGCATTCACTCGTAACCAACAAAAAAGCTACCTCTCTCAAGACAGCAAGACTGTGTCTTTAGTTTTAAATGGCCACTGCAGAAGATGTAATAAAGAACACAACCGTTTCCTCATATGTGGATGAAGGATGTCCGCTATAGTGTTGATATACCATTCGACATAAGCTTGGCTTTGAACTGTGCCGTATGGCAAACAATGGAAGACTTCCAGCCATAAAGCAAAATGAATACAAAAAAATTTTCTAGAACAGAAATGTATCATTCCTACATCAAGACGTTCCCCATGTAACTATATCTATCCAATGACATAAGAGTTGGGAACTGACTTTATCAAAGCATTTACTGGATGTTGCTAGACTTCTCACCTTTCCCAAAAGACTGACTCTAATCCTGATGCTTTGGATGTATCTTTCTTTTTTGTTTGCAAAATCCACTTTTCATAGATTGACTTTCCACTTCACATTCAGTAAGATGCATGATGCCCTTCAGAGTAACATGTTTCTGAATTAGAGAAATATCCACTTGCTATTAACAGGGTGCATGCAGTAACTTTGCTGTCCTTTCTTGCATTTCCCTAGAAACATAGCATGTGAAGGAACAGTAGCAGGAGGGAATCACAGATGGGAAGAAAAATGTCTCCAAAGAGAGAAATTCATGTTTATACTGCGCTCATCTGCAAAAAGACAAAATGTAGTTAGGTTCATTACATGGATCTTGTGACATGCAGATTCTTATGTCCAACATCACTGTCCTTTCTCAAACCGAACAGTAGAAAGATGCTTCCTGTAGCAGATAGCCAGCATGGAATTAGAGGATCTTCAACATGCCCAGTCCTTTCCCCTGAACTCATCAGGGACCTTTTATATCACCTAAGCTGATGGATTATTACTCCCTGGCCTGCTGGCTTAATTTTATGACTCGACCCAGACAGACTGTAATAAAAGCTTTCTGCTGTCAATGCTTGTCTGGGGACAGAGGAACGTGGCAAATTTGCTCATTCAAAACAAGTGTGAGGAAATGCTGAGCTATATGAGGGTGAAAGGGATGAGAGGGAAATGATGAATTTCCTTTATGGGCCACTGAGTAGGCAAAATAAATAAAACCTGTGTTTCAGATGTAGGCCAGAGGAGTAAAATTACTAAGAATCACTTCAACTCCCTTCCCTAGTCTGCCCAGCTGCCCTGGATTGTAACCAGTAAATTGTTTACCAGAGAACACTGGCCTGCCACTGACTCCCTGACTTCTATACTGGTAGAATCCTGATGTTTCAGCGACGGTTCTGTCCTCTGCACTGCCTGAAGACATTTCAGATATCACCACAACAGTATGGGGGTGTATGTGCTACTGGCATCTATCTATAGGGTGGGGGCCAGGGGTGCTGCTAAACAGCCTTCAATCTTCAGGACAGCCCCACAATGAAGAATTCTCCAGCTCTAAATGCTAGGAGAACGAAGGCCGAGACATGGTGCTACACCATAAAGCCTCTTGAGAGCTTTTCCATGTCCTAAGTGCACACTAGTACATGGAACATGGTGAGATTTTTAGGAAAACAATTTTAGATTGAAAAGTACATTGAAAGTTTTGCCTCTGTTGCAGTCTGGTTGATGGTAGAAATATGCAGCTAAAATGGTACACTTTAGGGGTAAGGGGAGAAAGGGAGTGAGAAAAAGGAAACCTGCATTCCAATCTTGTCACTATGTGACTGTGGCTCATTACCCAACCTCTCTAAATCTCAAGTTCTTCATCTACTAAGTTGTCTAATAGTACCTAACAGATAGGGTTGGTCAGAGTATTAAATCTGAAAGCATATGAAAAATGTTCAATACACTAAAAGGAAAGTAGTAGACGGTTAAGTGTTATTATGAACCCTGGACAAAGAAGGGCCTTCAGGAAAATAGACTGATTCTATTACAGTCCAGAGGGAAAAGTCTATTGTTCAGCCATTCTAGACTAAATAAATACCCGTCGTGTACACTGGTGCACTGGCTCCCTTGGACTATCTCCTTAGGAGCCTGAGGGCCTCTTGGTCCTGAGGCTGTACCAGGCATCAACCATAGTACCACCTTAGTCCAAACTCAATCTCCAGACTTGGTGGAAATAAGCCAGCTGTGAGAGCTGCCTTCACCTTGGAGAACACACCCTAATTCCACTTCACTTGTTTCATGACAGTCTCATTATGTGTAGCTCAGTGTGGCCTTCAATTCCAGGTCCTCCTGTCTCAGCCTCCCAACTGCTAGAATTACAGGCATGAGCAATTTCATTTGGCTCACATGCTCTCATTCCGAGAGTGAACACTGAATGCAAGTCATGGCTAAGGTTGAGGATAGAGTAAGCCACAGTGGAGTCAACCCAATTTAGAGACTAATGCCTCTTCTTTTGTACAACCAGTGCTTTTAGGTCTTCAGGTCTTCTGTAGGTCTATATGGAAACTACCTGGATTGGGTATAATAGATTTGTCTTAATCAAATAAATAAAATCAAAAGGAATGGAATGGAATGGTACAGGGGGCATCCAAAGATGACAAGCCCATTTCCTGGTATTTGAGTGTTTCAGTTTTTCCCACGGTGTCACCCTGAGAGCACACAGAAAGCAGTCCTACTGCTCCCACAAATGAGGGAACTAACATCTTATTTTTTCTACATCACAGAGAACAATGGTGATGACAGAGTTGGAACTCTGCTCGCCAAGTCTAATCCCAGGCCTCTCAGAGCTGTTGCCTTCATCTTAATAGAAAAAGACAGTTCTGTGCAAACAGTTCTTCCTGGCTTTAAAAATGCCATCTACTAATGGTGGTGGAGGTAACGGTGATAGAATTTTCTCAAGAACAAGAAAAGCAGCTCACCTTCCTTTTAGATTCATTGATACACCTTACATTTTCCGAGTTGAACTTCACTTTTACTCCATTTTTGTATGGGGCTTATAAAGCAGTTTTTAAAAACATTTTATTTATTAGTTTCAATTTATGTGTATGAGTGTATTGCCTATATGTATATAAATGTACCCATGTTGTGCAATCCCAGCAGAGGTCAGAAGAGGGTGTCAGATCCCCTGGAACTGGAGTTAAGGATGGTTGTTAGCTGCCATGTGGGTGCTAGGAACTGAACCAGATCCTCTGCAAGAGCAGCCAGTGCTCTTAACTGCTGAGCCACCTGTCCAGCCCCATAAAACAGTTTTTATAATAGCATCAGAATGCTACTTCACACAGACAAAAGGCTCATTAGCCAAGAAGACAGCACTATTTTGTGGTCACACAAGCTAAGCATTTTTCTGTTACCCTTTTCATTCCTCAACTATCAGGGGAAGATGTAAGAAGTATTCTCTAAATATTTTTTGTCTCTGCTTTAAGGTGAAGGGGGGGAAGTTGCATATGAGAAGCAGTCATTGCTGAGGGTATATTCAGCCATTCCAAGCATATAGCCTTGAATGTTTGCCCAGAGATCTCCTTTGCCCTCTTGGGCATCTTCCTTCCCCCTCCCCTAACTTTCCCTTTCTTTACTGAACACACATTTTTGCTAGGCACAAAGTACATGGTGATGAAGAAAGGCTAGTAATGGCAAAGAGAGGATTATTTCTGAAAGCATTAAGCAAGCTTTGAGAATGAATTGGACTAACTCCATGTGGAAAACAGCTTAAAAATGAAACAGCATCAGCAAAAATCCAGTCACCCAAACAAAATCCTTAGGATGAAGGATCTCATGCTGAAAGGCAAACAATACTATTTGATCTGCTGAAAAACATTCTCCCAAAACAAGATTCTCTCTTTTACAAACAATCATGCTTCTATTTCAATCATGAAACCCATTAACTCTCACTTTCTGAACTGTGGATTCTGAGCAAGCCCTTCATAGCCTCAGGAGCTGGCAGTGTAGAGAGCTTCTCAAATATAAAGCAGGTGAAACTGTTTTACTTCTGCTAGCAGAGTATGCACAGCTCTGTAATTATTGTAACTAACAAGTGTTAGTTCCTTCCTAATGATAACTCTCCTCTATGTAGACCCAGGGATGATACAGTAGGCCACAATGAAAACATTTTGCCTATCAGAAGAACCTCAGTCCCTTAATATGTGAAACTGCCACACAGATAGAACTTCTACATCAAAGAAGAGGGTAAACTTAAGCATTTGAAATGTCACTTGGTTTTTGGAGTGTTCAGTTCTAGGAATAAAAATCCCACTGATGAAGCACAGCTTGCTGAAACATAGTAAGCTTATCTAAAAAAAAAAAAAGCTTTTTCCTTGGCTCTGCCTAGCCTCCATCTCACAGACAGGTTCCAGATCTGCTGCAATGCCAGCCTGCCTCAGTGGGTACAGTCCCCCCAGGATGGGAATACCCCTGCCATGGTACTCACCATACTGTCAAATTCTACAGAGCTCACTATCCGGGACACCTCATGGGACACCTCATCAAACTCCTCGGGAGACATGGGTAGCAGATTGTCTGTGGTCTGAAGTCTAGAAGGGTGGCTAGAACAGAGAAAGGAAAGAGAAATGTTCACACTCAGTTATGGGAAGGCCACAGAGCAAACGCAGGTGTTTTGTCTCTTTATCTTCAACTGAATGGCCACTTCATATTTTTACTTCAGAAAAGTACAAACTTTCCAAAAAATATCTGAGAAAGTACAGATCATGAGACATTTATGTCCCCAGCCCGGCCCCTTGGGATACACTGGACCCTAGAGTGAGCAATTGCCAGACTGAACCCTACACCGCCGATGCCTGGTGAAGCCTCGGTGTGAACATGTGCAGTGTCACGCTGGGATGGCAGACTCTTATGGCTTATCCTGGATAGAAAAGCACCAGAGGAATGTCTGGGGAATCCCTCATCCCTACCTTGAGGTTTGTATGCAGATAAAGCTGCTCCACAGAGTGTTTTTACATGAAGGCTACATCCATTCACCCCAAGACAGTGCTGCAGGCCAAATAACTGACAATGACTTTTTCTACCTTCTATGAAATGAAACAACAAAATAAAAGCAAGCGGAGGAAATGTATCTCAGTTATTACTTTGGCCTTTTCTAGATTGAAAAGAACTACTTTCCCGTGCATCAGTTTTTGTTTATTTTATTTATACTTTTTCAAAGTATCAGTTTGGGGAGAACGTATATACCTTACACACAACTTTGTTTTATTTTTGTTGTTGCTTTTGTTTTTTTCTTAAGGCAGTAAAATGCTAGTAGCTGTGGTACCAGGACCTCTAGTTAAGATCTTTCCAAACAGTTCAGCTGCAGTGGCAATAGCAATTACAATAGGAAAAGTGAAATACAATCAGATACAATCAGCAGGCCCCAGCCAGGAGCGAGGCTGGCCTGAGGTCTGAGCATGCCACTCTTCCGTGCTCACTTACACTTCAGACACAGAAATCAACTCAGTCTTGATGTATCCAGTTCGTTTAGGGTCATCAAGTTCCATTGGCTCCGGTGCTGGAAACAAGCACAAGGTGTATCCTTTGCATTAGCAGAAATTATACAAGAAAAACATAATCACACTTTGAGGGACTGACTCTATTTTACTTGACAGCTTAATATCCTCCAACTTCAAGGGGTCACTTGAGTGGGAATGGAGAAACAACCAGAAGAAAGCCAGGAATCTAGCTAACAGTTTCCTTTTCCAAAGACTGGTGAAGGAAGCCCGTGAATGTAAAGCTGTCTTTGGTTTAGCTGATGGAGTATACATTGTAGTCAAGGTAGGTTGAAGTCACCTTCACTCCAAAGTACTAGTCCTAATAATGAGACTTCTGATCCCCCCAAAACAAAGCAATTAGCTTTGGACAAACCTAACTTGAACTTTTCCAAACACAGTTCAGTGACAACTGAAATGTAAAGTTGTATCCTAAGACAAAGCTTCCTGTTAATAATCATCACTAACAACAAAGGATCCAAAAAAAAAAATTGAGTCCACATAAATGAAACTAAGATCACTTCCCCTGGATCTTAGTTTCCCCAATTTTAACTCAATCAGGCTAACAGAAATCAGTCAGTCATGATTCCTATCCTTTAGCCCTTACCTATGGAAAAAAGTAATAATAAATACATAAGACAAAAAATGAACTTTTCCAATATCCTTAAAATAGGAAGTTATGAGCTGGGTATGGTGGTGCACACCTTTAATCCCAGCACTCAGGAGACAGAAGCATGTGGACCTCTGTGAGTTCAAGGCCAGCCTGGTCTACATAGTGAGTTCCAGGCCAGCTGGGGCTACAGGGAGACCCTGTATCAAAAAAAGACTATATATATATGAAGTTATGTTTTCATTTCTTACTAGCTACATCAGGCCAAACAATGCATTTCCTTTGAATTGTACAGGACAGCACGGGCCAATGGGAACTAGTGGACCTCATCTGAGGACAAACAACCATCACCAGGAAGGACCTGATTGCACTTTCTCATGGGGCGGCACTGCTCACTCCAGACTTACCTTCCTTTGGCCTGGAGTAATACTTTCCAAAGGCATGGTCTTTGTCAATATTGGGATACAGATATTTCAGAGGATTCTCTGGAATGTTCTCAGCAGCCATGACTTTATAATTGCGAATAATATCAGGGAAAGTAACAGCAGAAAGTTCTTTCTTTGTATAGGGTTCAACTGCATGGAAATCAGGTTCTAAAACGGAAAAAAAAAAAAAAAAAGAAACTTAGTGAGCCCCACAGGATATCCCAAAACAACCCAGAGAGAAAAATAAAATACTTCAGACACAGCCCAGTGAAAACTAACTACAATCTACAAATTACCAGATACTCGGTAGACTTCCTTTTTTACAAATAAATTATGATCCTGTCTTAAAAGGAGGAGAAATGAAAGCACTCTTAACTTTTGGTAACAATGCACCTATCAGTATTTGTTCAGATTTATAAATCTAAACAAAAGTATCTTTAAAAGGTTCATCTTCAAGCTGGGAGTGGTGGCACACGCCTTTGATCACAGCACTCGGGAGGCAGAGGCAGGTGGATCTCTGAGGCCAGCCTGGTCTAATGAGTTCCAGACCAGCTGGAGTTACAGGGAGACCCTGTCTCAAAAAGGCCAAAAAAGTTTTGTCTTCAATAAGACAATGTCTGTGGGCAGATCAATAACTAATTACCAACTGGGTCATGTGGACTTAAGCCACAGATTGTTATTAAAGATAAGCTCACTTTCTGATTTTCTTTACATAATGAAAGACATTTTTAAATTAAAATAAACGATGATCCACAGAGAACAACTCAAACAAAAGTGAATACTCTATGCCTGTGCTGCTTCCCTAGAATCCTTGGTGTGGTAAGCCAAAGGTCACATCACTTCTGTTCGTATGTCCACACCTAATTCAGAGCCTTCATCCTAATTATCTAGAATCCCACCTCTGGGTGTGCATGTTCCAGAGGCTACTGCTCAGTGCTCTGGAGCTCTCTCTAGAACTTCCTGGTTATATTGTATCCTACGTCTTTGTAGTTGCTGCTGCCCTGCTTAAACTTTCTTGGGTGCAAGTGTTTTCTTCCTCTTTCATTGTCTTATCAGCACATTTCTCAGTTGGCTCAGGAAAGAAGCTAGGCAGACTCCACATCCACAGCCCACACCAAGCTCCGATCCCAGCACACCTGCTTTCATCAGAAGAAAAAAATAAAGAAAACTTTTCCTCCTTTATGAGTCTATCCACTGATAGCATAAAAGTCCTGAGACTGGCCAGTTTTTCCTCCAGTTCTCTAGGCAAACTATAAGTAACTTTGAGAAGTAATCAGTTTGTTAGAATTTTTTTATATGTGCTATCTAGCTTTATCACAAGAAACTTTCTTTGTAACATCAAGGTTTTTGTAGTGTTTTAGCCATTTGGTTACATGACAGAGGCGAGTGTTCAGGTGGATGCAGGCTGCTTCTCATCCCGGCAGGCCCTGAAGCAGTGTGTGGCATCATTTCACAAAGCCTGCCTCATGTGGGCACTTTACTCTGAAATGAGTTGAGTCTGAAGCCTCATGCTGTGGGAAAGTGATCCCTTCTAAGAACTGGATGCAGATTATATTTATTCATATCCTTCATCTGCAGATAACAACTCTGAGGGAAAGGTAATAACTTGGCTTTGTGTTTTGAAAACCATCATTTCTATAGTATGTACCAGGCAGCAAATCACAAATATTCATGGTTGTCTATTAAATGCCTTCTAGGGGGCTTAGTTGTATAACTATAGGATACTCAATTTCATGTCCAAGGCTCTTTACTCAAATGGGCTGATCTGCCGTGATGGAGAGGGATTTCAGGCATGAGACAAGGCTGTCTGTGCACTTGGATGCTCTTCACTCACCGCCTCCATTTTGGGACCGTTCCACCCATGTGAATGTGATGGCTCCTTCCCGGGAGCTCTCGCTGAACCGAAGCAGGAAGGTCCCTGGCTGCTGGTCCTTGAGCAGAGCACGTTCTCTTTCCTTGCTGATAAAGCCCATGATACATCTGGACATTGAAAAGATTAATGGAGACATTTTGTATTTGATTTATGATTTTGATTTTCATGTTAACTCACAAACCAAACTAAGAAAATAGCTACAACTTGACAACATATTTTTAAAATGTATGGACTTAAAATATGCTTGACACTTAGGCATCACACCTATACAAGTAAGAAAAAACCTAAGATGAACATGGTGTTGGTATGATGTTACAGATGGTCAGTAAATACATGATGGGTAATAGTGGATCTTTTAATGTCACTTGGAAAATTTAAACATCATAAAAATGTGTGTGTGTATGTATGTGTGTGTGCACACGTGTATGAATCTCAGGCCGTATTTTCATAGACTAACACTTCTAGTCAACTGGAAGTTATTGTTGAGATACCCGCTAGTCCTGGGAATGAATGAGACAGACACAAGTTGAAAAGGGCTCTGCTTGCTTCTTTGCTAGGACAGTACTGTAAGTGCTGAAATTTTTTATTTTTTTATTTTTTTTTAAATTTTATGTGTATGCATGTATTGCCTGCATGTAGGTAAGTGTACCTGTGTCAGGCAATGCCCGTGGAGGTCAGAAAAAGCTGTCAGGTACCCTGGGATTGGAGTTACAGACATATAGCTGCCATTCAAACCCAGGTCTTCTGCAAGAACAACCAGTGTTCTTAACAGGTGAGCCATCTCTCCAGCCCCAGTGCTGAAATTTTTTGTGGGAATGAATAAGTACATGAATGACACTCAGGTTTTTTGTTTTAAATTTCTCCTCTCTCTCTCTCTCTCTCTCTCTCTCTCTCTCTCTCACACACACACACACACACACACACGTCCTAAGACAACGCATGTTTAATCTTATGAGAGTCCCCACTCACGAAGCTCTAACAGCATGTAACTGTGCACCTTTGTGAGGCAGACACAAATCTTGTCAAACAATAAAGTCCAGCTCAGAATGTGTCTCAGTCTTGTAACAAGGGAGCACAAATTAAAAATTTGTTCCAAAAATTCAGCATTCAGTGACCCTTACCCATCATTCCAGAGGCAGAGCAGGTGTTTCTTAATGAGTTCTAGGATGGTGTCAATCCAAGGCCAGAAGGAAAAGTTTTTATCATTAATATTCTCCTGAAAGTACACAAATACATAGTTAAGGACTTAACCATGCCCCTTCCCACCCCTGAATTTTAACTTGCAGAGGCCCTAGCTCAGGCACAGATCAGCAGTGATCCCTGAGTGGGGAATGCTTGGGTCTCTGCTCTTACTGGCATTCAGACCTGGAGCTTTTCCCGACCCTGGGCAGAGTTCTACTTCCTTCTCCAAACAGTAGCACATCAGCAGGGGATGACCTCCAAGGTGACCCAGGAAAAACAAGAGCTGCCCTCACACTAATGCAGCCCAGCAGAGCCAGCTACTCAGCACTGCCTGGTGACCCCAGCGGGGTCTAACCATTCGGTCCAACTGTTCCCTCAGCTTGAGCAGCTAGGCAAAATTCACTGGGCCAGGAGGCCAAGCGCACATTTCACATGGCCTTGGCCAAAACACTGATGATTAAGAGACTGGTGTGAGGGAACTGAAGACTCATTTTGGATATGAAAGAATGTTATCACTTAGGCAGGTGCTTCCTGTCAGGCTCTGCTTGAAGACCAACCTCCTGTGCTGAAGGAAAGTAAACAGTCTGCCCTAGGGGCTCTGACGGTGAGAGACAAACATGCCAAAATAAGCAAACAGTGAACTGCCACAGTGAGCTCCTCCCTGGACTGAGTTATAGGTGTAAAACCCAGGCTATACTCACTTTACAAAATCTTGTCCACGGAATAAGACCATCAGGGCCAGCATTAGGACCTAATAAACAAAAATTAGCCTCTTTTAACAAAGAGAAATTGATTCTGATACTCTGGTTGGGACTGATAGCTCTTGCATTTGTTGGAAAAGAAGGAACACGCCACAGAGGAACATTACATCATGGTTGATACTCTCTAGTACATGAATGCAAAATTAATCAAGCAATTAATATATACCATGGAAGGACACAATTAAGGTAGTCTAAAGCATGTGTCTGTGCTTTTATTTTATTTGTTAAGACAGGAGATGTCTGTGTAGCCCAGACTGGCCTCAAACACTTTATCCCCTGCCTCTGCCTTCACCTCCCCAGATGTGCAATGCGACTTTTATCTGTTGGTTTGATTTTTAACAGCATGAAGGAATAGATGGGAGATTACTGGGCTTGAGTAGGAAAGTACGCAGGCAAAGTGGAAGCATCCCAAAGCTCACCATCTGTTGCCTCTCTCAGACCCCTTTATGACAGACAGGACAAATCTCTTCCAAACTGACTCTGACCTTGGCATTAAGCCACAGTTTCTCTGCGAGGCATCCTGAAGAAGTTCCTTCTGCCTCTCCCTGTTCAACATCATTTCCCACGGCTCCCCATCACTGCCTCCGTGGACTCTCCCAAAGGCCCTACAGAATTTCAAAGTAAGACCAAGATCACCCCTAGGTGATCAGTTTAACAGACACTTGATTTTATAAGCCTACTTTAGACAGTAATTATGTATTTCCCTCAGTCCCCTCACAAACTGAGCAGGGGCTCAGACTGATGCAAATTATCATGATTAGCTATACAAATTAAAGTAACACATAGCATAGATGAGCTAAGTCCACTACCTCTGTTTTGGAAACAAAAATAAAAAAACCCACCACAAATAAGCTATGACCAGCAGAAAACAAAACAAAACAACCCTTAAATCTCATCGAATATGGATATGGAACAAGGTGATTTTATACTTTTATTAACTTGCATAGCTGAGAAAGGCATTGCTGAGGCCACCTAGTTAAGAGCCCACTTGTGTTTGTAGTACATGCAGCCCTGTGCAAAGTAAATCTGGACAATAGCTGGGGATGGGCTTTTAAAGTCATGGTTCAGATTCTCCCATTCACTGCATGATCTAACAATGACTAGTGAGTGTTTTTATTTTTATTTTTTATTTTTTTATTTTTATTTTTTTTGCATTGATGGACATTAGCTGCTGAAAGCGAATTATCTACCAGGTCCAGGCTTTGCCTGATCAGGCAAAACTACAGACCTGTCTCCTGCGACATGGGCCCACCTGACACAGAGCCCTAGGTTTTTAAGTCTAAGACTTGTTTCTTACTGCGTCGGGAACTTTCCTTTCTTTCTCCCTTAAGACCTCATCTTTCTCCTCTAGAACTTATTTCAGGTAGGTACAACTAACATTTTCATAAAATAAAACTTCCTTAGGATCCCGTCTCAGAAATGTTAATATGAGATGAGGAAAACCTATCATTTGAGTCCTTTATCAAGACTTAAAGAAGTATGAGTGTCATTTAGCTATGGGAGGCTGTAGCTGGAAAAGCCAACTGATTTGAACACTCTTCTGCCTTTAACAAAACAGAGGATAGAGAAGGACTGAGGGAGAAAGGTGCTACTTGGGTGTATTTCAACTGAGAAAGTTAACATGCCCATACCAAGGAGCTTCTCTCCCAACATGTTCAGCTGGTCTGCGTTGAGTCCTCTCTTTGTGACAGATGAAAATTGCCAACTCAGAACCTCTGATAGCTGAGACCACCGTGCACATGGTGGGTTCAGGAAGAAGGACAGATTCTAAAAAGAACACACCCAAAAGCTAGGGGTTATAGAAGAGTCACAGCAATGCACCACAACATGGGCCCATCCCAAAGTTCAGTTTCAATTAATATGACACATAGACATTTTCATGGTCAACAATGAAAATTCTCAGTATTAGTAGATTCACACTTGTGAATCTATATACTCACTAAAATGTACTTATACTCCAAAATCAATACTCCAGGCATTTTGGGGGGGGGTCACTTAGTGACACAAAGCACACAGAGTGGCACACAACCAAGTGAGATGGAACAAAACATTCTGGCTTTTTTTCAAAGCTCACAATCATCCCAGTCTCTCTGGTTTTCTCCTTTTTGGGGTGACTTCATTGTTTAAAACGGTGCCCAAGTGTAGTGCTGATGCAGTATGATGTGCCCAAGCACAAGAAAGCTAGGGAGTGCAGTATGGAGAAAGTGCATGTGTTAGATAGTTCCTTCAGGCCTGAGTTCCAGTGCTACTGGCTGTAAAGTCAATAGTAACAAGTCATCAAATCTATCAGATAAGGTGCCTTTAAAAGAAACACACTTAGAAGTATTGTGACCAAAGGTTCACAGGAGCCTAACCCTGTAATTCCCCTAAGCAATGATTCAGTATTTGACTAACAAGTGTTCCTGATGATGTTAAAGAACGGGAATATTTCAGCTAATGAGAATCAAACGATTAACCAACAGTGTACATTCACACTCTAAGAGCATGGTATGTTTATATAACAAATGTATATATCAAAAGAAAGAGAATAGCAATAAAAGACTTCCCCTAGAATGAAAGATACATACCATCAGCTACTGCTTGGGTTCATTAATATGGAAGGCAAATCACTGTTCTATCATACAGCTCAGGTACATGCTTTACTTTCCCAGTAATTTAAGATTCTTAGTAATGCCCCAGGAGTTTGTCACTACTTCCCTTACACCCAGACCTCAGGAGCAGCTAAAACTCTTTGGTTAATCCCTAGTATGAAAGTAAATGTGTTTTTCATACCCTGGGTTCTGCCACCAGCATGTTGTACCACAGGATGGAGGCCCAACCACTGGGGAGCTGGCTGACGTTGGAGATCACCACAACTGGCAGAGAGGTAGTCTGAAAGTTGACAAATACCTTGAAATCATTTGAATCACAGATCTATCATCTTCAGACAGCTATATATCCTTAAAGATGAGCAGGAGAGTATTTGTTTGTAACTGCATATACTTTGTACTTGAAAATTTAAAATGTTAAGTTTTGTTCTTTTGCTCTGATTATTTTTTGGTAGATCTTTCAGTTAAGGAAATCAGTGCTTAACAGTAAAAAACTTAGCAGCTATCTCAACTAGAACATTAAACTTACAAGATATGAAGATTAATTTAGCTTTCTAGCTTCCTGGATCAGTAATGCCAAGATAGTATTATATTAGCTTTAAAAGATCATCTCTTTTTTAACAATTTTTAAATTGTTTAAACTCTTTTTAAATATCTCTGAAATAAAAAATGAAAAACAAAAATTCATGTAGAAACTAGAAGTAAAAATATATTGTTTTCTACCATGAGAACCTGGAAGTCTTACCTCAAGGTCAATTACCAAGCCTGGCTGGCACAACTGGGTTTCAAAACTAAGGGAGTGAAGCTCTTCAGTAACAATGAGAGGACCCTTAAAAGAGAAAAAGAAAACGAATGTTAACAGTTCATTCACTGATCCTGAACTTCTCAAAACCCAAGCAGGTCTAAGAGATAGCTATAATTCAGAAGATTCCAGAACTTAATACTCTTATCCGCTATTTTATTATTCCAAACTTCTCAGTATTCTTTCAGAGATGTCTGAAATCACAGCATGGATTATCAATTCAGAGAAAGAAACATCAGTAGGGAAAATGGCAACTTCAAATGGGCTTAGTTACAACCCACAGCCTCCTGACCGACAGTCATCTGCCTGCCCATGTGGGCTGCACATCTGAGATGGTGTGGAGTGGGGGCATCTACTAGAAGGACTAACCTACTTCGGCCTGGCAGGTCCTAAGTGTTTTTGTTTGGTAGTAAAAGACGGTCTTCAAGGTGCCCTCAGACACACTGCTTTCATAAGCATCATACCATCTTGCAGCATGGAGGTGTAGCTCCTAGACCCAGGAGGTCACAAGGACAGTTAAGGTACAAACCTGGGCTGGACATGTCAATGCTGCAGAGACTAGTGTTTACTTCATTGCTCCAGTGCCCCCCACTGGTGGTGGTGTGGAAAGACAGCACGAGGTATGTGTACGGAGGACAAAAACATTTCAAACCAATCCAACTCCAGACCTTGGGCTCTTTGTTCATCTCTCATTTTTCAGTTACCACAAGCATAGCTCCTAAGGCTCAGGCTGTAAAAGGGAACTGTGAGAAGGCAGCGCTGCTGTGTAGGAGACACAGGCAGGGAGCCTGTACAACACATTCCTTGACGTCAGCCACTTTCAGGTTCTTGCTCCAGCTGAAAGGCATCTCTGTACATCCTTAGCTGAATCACGCAAACTTCCCAGACCTCCATTTCCTCACCCAGAAGATACGAACAACACAAAAACCCTCCGTGGCCTGGATACAGTGAAGTTGTGGGCAAAACTGCTTGTCAACCAAAAAGCACAAAGCAGAGTGCCTTTACCATTACCAGATACTCCAAATGCTCTTCCCTGGCAGGTCTGAACTCTTCTGTGATGAATCCCCAGCCACCAGGGGCAATGACATGCTCTCATGACTGTATCTGCCTGATTGGGGCCCACTCACAACACACAGACTCTTACCTCATTAGTTCTGTTGCCAGCATTTTTCTGTTCTTTCAATTGCTGTAAAAGAAGAAACCATCTTAATAAATGGCAAGTTAATCATCAAAGTTGATGTCTTCATTTACAAATCAAACCTACATCAGGACTAGAAAGAAAGATGTGACAATATTCTCAGAAGTAGAACAAGAGGAAAAATGCCTCATCTAGCAGTCGGGGGGGGGGGCATGGGTACCACAGGGGACAAGGACCCGCAGCTATCCTGTCCTTTGTCCATGCACTGGTGCCCCAAGCACCATCACTAGCCCCTCTATGACCCCTGGCTCAGGCGGAGCTTCTTCTGTCTCTCAACAGGATCTTCTAGCACTCCAGAGACTCAGTCTCTCTTCTCATGGACTTTAAGTCTTACACCTTTGGACATTCTTGGACTTCCAAATTGGTCTGATGCTCTTGCCACACATGCAGCTCCCTAGCTATGACGTCTGTGGCTCACAAGATGGCACACAGTGAAAAATCTCCCTTCAGGCTCAGTTCCAACACTGGGAGCCTCAGGCCCCTCTTCTCATGGAGGCAAAAAGAAGGTACTGCCCTTCTCTCTTTGGCATAGTTTATGAGTGGATGGTGGTAGTCAGGCTACCACACAATTGGAAGGTGGGAGGAGTAACAGAACATGGGAGTGGTGACCTTGAGAACTTCAGTAGCCCATAGTGACTGCTCAAGACTGAGAAGGTGGCAAGTGCAAATGTGATTCATGTGCATATGAGTTTAGGAAATACTCTGAGATCAATACAGCCCGAAAGGAGGGTTTCAAGGAGAGAGTCTGGCAAAAACAACAGCACAAACAGAACGCAACAAAGAAGCAGTGAAGAGTCCTGAGGTAAGGAAAGGAATAAGGATGCCCCAAGTGCTGGTGGTGAGAGGTGCAGGCTGAGCTTTTAACATCACAACATGCCTCTACTGTAACAGTCTAAAAGACCAGAGACAGCATCAAGAAAAAAAAAAAAAAAAAAAACGAAAAAATTTTCCCCCCACCCTCGGGAGGCAGAGACAGGCAGATCTCTGAGTTCAAGGCCAGCCTGGTCTACATAGTGAGTTCCGGGACAGCTGGGGCTACAGGGAGACCCTGTCTCAAAAAAAAAAAAAAAAAAAAAAAAAAAAATGGTCTGCCTACCAGGTGTCGAAATTCGGCTGCCAGACTTCCATTGGTGGACTCCTCCATGTTCATCACCTTCGTATGTGTGCCCAGAATGTTGAACTTCCGAAATCTACACGATGCAAGATACAAATACTTAGAAGGCTTCAAACTACTAGACAAACAAGATAGCAAAGTGTAGCAACGTGCAGTACTTCACGTACCCTTTTACTGTATTTCTTTCGTTCACATCTCTGCAAAAACAAAAAGACACACGTATTTAAAATTTGAAGCAAGCTTTAATAGATATAAAAGTACATGCATACGTCTAAAGAAAAGACAGAAAATCAATCTAAAGCTGCTGGTAGCACTCTACTTATGCCTAATCCCACTGCTTCCTGCAGTTTACTCAATAAATCTGTTCTCTTCCTTTAAAAAGGAAAGGAAAGGGAAAGAGGGAGAGGAAAAGAGGAAGGAAGAAAGAAGACAAGACGTCTACAAGCCGGGAGTGGTGACACCTGACCACCATCTCAAGATGGAGGCAGGAAAATCATGAGTTCCAAGCCAGCCTGTGCTACAAAGCAAGACCCTGTCTCATAAAAGAACATAAAATCAAAACAAGAATAAATAAATCTACATCTGTGGCCTGCTGTCCTTTCACTCATTCACTCCCTTCCTACTCATATTAACTATGCCAAGTATCACTGAATGATCACAGGCAAACTATCCCTACCTTCCATTTCTCTTACAAGACATGCTCACAGTACCAAGGCTACAGGACCCTGAGGCATGAGCAGTTAACAGGTACACAGAGCTTCCATAAACCTGTGTTTATTAAGTACTTATTTTGTGCAAGGCACTGTGCCCCGCGCTAGAAAACTCTGCTGCCACAAAACTGAGAGGCCTCCAAAGTGACTACTTAAAACCATTATTTTATTTTCATTATTCTCAGTGCTCTTGTGACAACACCAGGATAGTCAGTTATGTGGGGAAACAGAACAGTGTAGTTTGAAGGCCAATTAATTTCTTTTTTCAGTTCTGGCAGTTAAGCCCCGGGCTCCTGTTAGCACTCCTGCTAGGCAAGTGCTCTACAGAGAGTTACTACGCTGGTCCCCAGTCCCTAAAGTTTAAAGTCAAAATCTTGAAAATTTTATATAGATATAAATTTGGTGGTTACTTTGCCATGGTGTGGTCTGCCACAAAGGTTCGTATTCTAGAGGCTTGGTCCCCAGGTGATGATGTTGAGAACTGGGACATAAGACAGATGGTTAGGACACTAGGTCACAGAAGAGTCATGCTTCCATTGTGGGAGAGACTGCAGCTTAGTGAGGTGAACTATGGCTTTCTCAGCTTGCTCTCTTGTTTTTCTTACTAGGTGATTCTCACAGGGGACCTTGCCATGTGATGCCACCTGCAGGGCCCCTGCCGGTTCCTGCCACCAGATCTTGAACTTCTCAGCTTCCAGAACTGTGAGCTAAATAAACTTCATTCCTTTATAAAGTACCCAGTTTCAAGTATTTTGTTATAGCAACACAAAATGTACTAAGGCAGCCATGTTCTCACCAAATAACATGTATCAGTAGTATGGATGAAGACTAGAAATTATCTTGCACACGAGCTAGCCACTCTTCCTATCCCAGACAGAAGGCCAATATCTTTGTGAATATAAATTTCTATGAAAGGAACATATTTTCCTCTATTTGCGAAGAATAAAGAATTTAAAATAAAAGCAACAGTGTGATAGAAGTCTAAGAAGAAAAGCCAGAACTGGAACAGATGGAAACAGGGAAGGTGCCCAGGAGGGGCACACATCGACTAGAAGAGGGCTGAGCTAAAGCAGACCATGGTGGGCCATTTCCAGAAGTAGTTCCCAGCCTCTCATTGGTCTTGACTTGGTCCTAGCAAGAGAAGGGATGGTGATGCTGCCACACACGTTCTAAAGCTAGCCTCCACAGGTCTTGCAGGCTTGGAAGTTGTCAAGTGAAAAGTTCAGGCTAGTATCTTTGAGAGACCCATGAACACGAACCCGGCTGAGACCTCAGACAGGTAATAAGGAAACGAAGAGCAGCCAACCCCAACCAAGCTACCCCAAAAGGATGACCTACAGCTCACAGAGTATGAGCAATACTAAGCTTTGAGGGTCTAAGCCCCTGGATTTTGGAGGTTATTTGCTATGCAACAAAAACTAACTGATACACAGAGAAACCAAAGATGATGGCAGGGAAAGCAAAACCAAAAACGCAAAGAGAAGAAGCTCCCTAAAGGAGTTTCAGATTAAACTGCGAAAAAGCTAGAGGAAAGTGATTTGAATGATCACAATCATCCTGAAACTGGCTAAACCAGAATGTAATACAAACTAACAAAAGCAGAAGTGTCTTGGGAGGGGGGCACCTTGTTTCATACTGTAAGTCGTAGAGGTAGGTCAGTGCTGGCTTAGACGTAGGTTCAAAGGGCAAACCAGGATGAGGCTGCACATTTCCCCCACGAATGAGCCTGTGCATTCCTGGGTTCCCACTGACCACAGGAGACACGAGTGAATGCAGCAGGCTCCATAGGTCCCCCAAATGCCTTTAATTCTACTTCAAAAACAACCTCCAACAGGCCACAGACTAAGGGGCTCTTCTCTGGGGCTGGCCTAAGAGGAGTGGTGTGCAAAGGCTAACAACGTTGACTTGATGACTACAATCTCTTCTGCTCGTTCTTTCATTCTAGTCTTAGAAAAGAGCAAGTGTTTTGCCACTAGCCAAGAAGAAGCTCCAATAACCAGATAAGGAGCCATCAAGCTAAATCTGCTAGGCAATTTGTAATGGCCCTGATATATTTGACTAGGAGCTTGAGTTCGCTGGTAGCAGTGCTGGGAGCTGAAACTCAGTCCTAGGTCCCCAAGAAGGCAAATTCCCCTCCAATCTGCTCATTTGATGGAGGAGTCCACATTTGATTAAAACAAAACAAAACAAAACCACATTTTACTTAGAATCTTGGCTAAGATTAAACATATCTTACTTATCAAATGAGACTTTGACTTTCAAATTATAATTCAGCTCTTGCAATTTCACCAACAGTCTGAAAAGAAAAAGAAAAGTCATTACTTTAAAAGCTATTGACTAAAATTATTTATTATGCTAATTCCCCCATGAATAGTTGTATAAACCCCTTCTTTTCTCCATTTCAGGTTCGAATATTACAAGGAACCAACAAGTTTGTATGTCTATGTGGTCTTTCATTTTATGTACATTTGTTTTTTGTTGTTGTTGTTTTGTTTTGTTAGTTTTTTGAATATTTATTATTTTTATTTTATGTGTATGAATGTATTGCCTGCATGTATGTAAGTGCACCCGTGTTGTGCAATGTCTACAGAGGTCAGAAGAGGGCATCAAATCCCCTGGAACTGGAGTTATGGACAATTGTGAGTTGCCATGTAAGTACTGAGATTTGAACCTGGGTCCTCTACAAGAGCAGTCAGTGCTCTTAACTGCTAAACCATCTCTCCAGCCCCTTGTTGGTTTTCATCTCCCTACAGCCCCAGCTGGCCTGGAACTCACTATGCAAACCAAGCTGGCCTCAGTCTCAAAGAGAGCCAAGAGCTGGGATTAAAGGTATGCACCACCATGCCTGGCTATTTATGTATACCTGTGGCATCAATTCCTAACTATGAAATTTCTGTAGTAAAGACTGTAACATTAAACTCTAATGTTTATGCAATGCAACACTGATTTTATATTCTGATCAAAAGTTAGTGAAGGTAGCTGCTGTTTTATATAACCTCACCAACCCAGGGTTTTCATAAAAATATCTACTTTTGACCAATTTATATGGGTGAAAAATAGTGAACATTACTCTTATAAAACTTGTATCTAATTTTTCTGTCCTAAAAATACCCACGAAAAAATTAAAGACAAACATTAAAACTACCACCCATAATCTGGTGTGATTGATCGGTCCAGGATGGCGTAGAAAGACTGGAGCCCTGGATCAAGATTCCCTGTATGAGCCAGGCATGATGGCACTCACCTTTAATCCCAGAGGCAGAGGCAGGCAGATCTCTCTGAGTTCAAGGCCAGCCTGGTCTACATAGTGAGTTCGAGGACAGCTGGGGCTACAGAGAGACCCTGTCTCAAGAAGGCCAAAAGTTCCTTAGCAGGTAAGAAGCCAGGCGTGGTAGCAGACGCCTTTAATACCAGCACTCAGGAGGTGGAGGCAGGCGGATATCTGTGAATTCAAGGCCAGCCTGGTCTACATAGTGAGTTCCAGGACAGCTGGGGCTACAGGAAAACCCTGTCTCAAAAAGACCAAAAAAAAAAAAGACTCCCTGTACCTCAGCTCTGCTAGCTGGAGACCGTGGACAGGAACTTCAGGTCTCCGGTCAGGAGCAGGTGATGGAATTAGACTTCCTATTTCCTGTGACAGTGAGGTCTAGATTCCATGAGTGCTTATGTGTGGTGCTGCAGCACTACCTGCTGGAGAAGCAGCAACTGTGCACCCCAGTCAGCAGCACCCTATTAAAGCCAGGCCCAGATGTGCAGGATATAGCAGCTCATCCCCAGAGCAATGATTAATGGAATGCAGTGGCTCATTGGAATGAGCCAAGACCACAAGTTCTCACCAGGGAACACTTCTACAACTGTATCGAGGAGAAAAGCAGGCTAACTATATATGTAATCCTAGTTTTAAAAATTGAAATGTTAGGGCTGGAGAGATGGCTCAGCAGTTAAGAGTACTGGATGTTCTTGTAGACGACCCAGGTTCTAATCCTAGCACTTACATAGCAGCTAACAACTGTCTACAACTCCGGTTTCAGGAGATCGGATGCCCTCTTCTGTTCTCCATGGGCATTGCATGACACAGGTGCACTTACATACATGCAGGAATAACACTCATACACAAAAATAAAAACAAATCAATAAATAATAAATAAAAATTGAAATGTGTCATGTTTTGTTTACATATGTCTATGTATGAAGCATGACCAGAGATTTACGTATTTATGGACATAATTACGGTGGACAGATGCAGGCTGTTCACTGTAGTGATCCAGAGATGTTTAGATCACACACCACTGTGAAAACATGATGAGAACTCACCAGCAAAGTGTACATGTCATAAGCTACATTCACGCACACTACTTCAATGCTGTGGTTTCATAAAGCTCCTTAATAAGCCCATGATCGAGAGGGCTAGGGCTGCTGGGAACTTTGCTGTCTATTATATATGTTTCTGCGATTATAGACTGTTTCTTATTATGAAAATATATTTATGATTGGAGAAAAACAGGTGTATGTGTACAGGATATATATGGCTTATACTTCTGCTTTGAACACACACTTTGACTATTCTAAGGATGAATTCATATTTAAATGCCTACTGAAAAAATTATTTTCTCTAGAACACTGTATGTAAAAATTAAAATTTTTAATCCTTTAAAAAAATTTACTTATGCATATTTGTGGGTGTCTCTGTGAGCCACATGCACACAGGTGCTCACATGGGTGTAGGAACTGAACTTGAGTCCTCTGGAAGAGCAGCAAGCATTCTTAACTTCTGAACCAACTCTCTAGCCCCTCTACGCAACAATTTTATAAAAGAAAATCGAAGGGCTAGGTGTGGGGGTACACGCCTGTTATCCCAGCACTTAGGAGGCTGAGACAGGAAAAAAGAGAGCAGGAAATTAAAGGGGAAAACAATGGGATAGGCAGTATGGAACTGTATCTTTATTACCTCAACTTCACAGTGAACTGTACCCCAGTCTTCAAAACCAGTGGCCTCTGAGGATGAGTTGGCATGCACGGCTGTCTTTCCACCACAAATGAGCTAGAAACATGCAGCAAAGTGTAGACGATTAGCATTTCCATCAAGGTTAAGGCAGTAAAAAAATAAAAGATCTTCCCTAAAGTGGAAATGGAGTTAGAAAAATTCAAGCATTGAAAATATTGGAGAACTGAAAAATAATTTGAGAGAGTTTGATAAATCGGACAAACAAAGCAATGTCTGCTATTTAGTAAAACATGGAGTGGTCTCCAGCTCACTGTGGAAGTGGGGCCATGACTATCTAGCTGAGGGCTCCATCTGGCTGGCAGGTGATAGAAAGAACAAAGCCCTGCCCTGGGTCTCAGAGCCTAGGTGCAAGGGCTGAGAAGGGGGACTGGTTGGGAGGATGATATGCAGGAGCTCAGAAAACAGGATTCACAACATGACAAGGGAGGTCACAGCATGGGAAGGAGGGTACACGTATCCCGAGGTCAGATGTGCTGGGTCTCGGCAGAGACTAGCTAAGGGGCAAAAGAAGTAAAAAGTTACTATGCTTTCCAGCCTAGGTATCCAAAAGAATGAAGAGCCATTGGCATAAACAAGGAATTCTGATAGAATGGTGCCACTAAAATGTATATAGCCCAATAAACCCTTCTAAATTATCTGAACTGCCATGAAATGGTACTCTAGATAAAATAATTACAGACTTGTGAATCAATCTGCTTAGGGTTACCTCTGAATGAGCTGCTGGAAGAGGATGAAGGTGCGTTCTGACAACCCCTGTTTATTTTTTGTGATAGGGTCATGCTCATAGGTATACTTCTGTTCCAACTCTTCCAGCTTTTTAAGCTGCTGACGAACCTGTTGCAGACTCTCTGCGACAATAGTAAACCTGGGAAAGTAGAACACATAGGTGTCTTAGTGAGCAACAGTCCCAATGCAGCTTGAATTAAAGAGAATCACAGAAGTCAAGATGAGGTATGGGCAACACATGAATTTACACGCTGCACTGAGGGAGAAATGGGGAGATGGAGGCTTATGCACACATTAAGAAACTTAAGTTATTCAGAGAGGACAATTAGCATGCACTGAAGAATTACAGCATGGGTCAAAGGCCTCTGCACACTCCCGAGAGCTAGCTACACCAGGGGAGATGGGCTGGGCAGGGCAGGATTTCAGGTGACCTATGACGTCAAGGCATCTGGGATTTCAAAAGGGCAGAGCAAGGAGGACAGAGGCAGGGACCAGCAAAGCAGATGCCTTCATGTGACATAAGGGGAGTGAGGAGCCACTGAAGGCTTCATGCCAACACAGTGCCATAAGAAAATGCTGCCTCCAAAGGCTTTTCAGACACTGGGAAGGAGACTGAGGGGAGCGCCCTGGAAACTGCAGGACAACCAGGAAACTGGGTGGGGTAGAGAGGAGAGGAGAGGAGAAAGCATGCTCAGTTTATACTCTACACGGGTAAGGCTAATGAGGAAGTCTAGTGATTGGTTATGAGGAAGTCTAGTAATTGCTCACAGGCTCTTCCTTCCTCAGTCAGCTGCTAATGGTGAAAACTTCTAAGAGAGGCATGGTGTGGGAATGTACTTTATTTGGAAGATAGTAGAAAATCTTGTTTTTTTTTTAAAAAAAAACACCCTTCTCCCAACTGAAAACATCTACTGTACTTGGTGGATTTATTCATTTGAATCCAAGCACTGAGAGGCCCTTCACCATGAGATAAGAAGGCAAGATGTGACTGTGACTGGATGCACTCCTAAGGAGATTCTGCCGCATATCTCCCAGCTCCCTTCTAATGGTGGCACAAAGATAAAATGGCAATCCTTATACTGGAATGTAGTGCCACTGAAAGAGGCTCCTGTGGCCTAAGGTGACCAGTGGTCTCCAGATAGCTCAGGGCTGACCACTGGAGGATCTAGAGCACCAGTATCCCTCAAGTACAGGGGGCCAAACAGGGTTGAGAACCCCTACTCTACCACACAAGAAATCATACATATAGATACATATAGACAATTCACAGAATAAAAATAAATAGCTACATGTTAATTTTGATTTAAAAAAATTCACAGATCTCAGGAAAATAACCCTATTAAATCTCTGACTCTTGGATCCCTGGAAACTATCTTAGCCCACCATCCCCCCAGGTTCATTCCAAAAGCCCTTTAATCTATCCTAAGTTCAGTTCTCAAAGGAGCCCCTGGACTACACTAACAGGCTAGCCATAACCTGTCTGATGAGCTTTTGTCTCTGTTCTGTCCTTCAGGCTGTTGTTAGAGTGACCTTTCTAAACAAAAAAAAAAATCAGAGAAAATAGATGCCAAGCTTAAGACAGAAGCCTGCCTTTGCTCTCTCACGCCAGTTGGGCAAAGCCCCTGTTCTGAGAAAGGGGCTCCACAACTGGGCTGTGGTATCTCTTGTCACCTGTGTTCCTGCTTGTGTCTCCCCAACACTCTATGCTCATCTCTGCTGGAAAGAACTTCTCCCCAGTCTTCCTAACACATCCACTCACTCTCAGTGTTATATAATAACTATGTCATTTGAATTTGGTATGGTCCAAACCAAGCAGGCTGAATGTGGCAACAGTTATGTGTATCACTGAACTTTCCAAGTGTTCCCAGGGATGAAGCTGAACTATGTACGCCAAACTCTCAACTGCGGTGTTGACAGGGCCCATTCAACTAACAGCCCAAAGGCGTTCTTTATTAGCTTCTGTGGCCAGCCTGTCAGCTACCAATGTTCCACTCCAGGAAAATCTTACCAGCTCTGCAGCTGATCAAGGCAAGCATTGGGCGGTCCCCCAATACAGGCACTCTGCTGTCTTCGCTTCCACTCCACTAGCTCATTATTAATCAAGGTATTCTGGGTAAGTTCAGTGGCATTCAACAACTCTATTATTTTGTGAACTATCTCCTAATGGAGGGAGAAAGAAACAAGGTGAAATAAAGTTTTAATCAGTGAATTTTGAAAAACAATTTAAAATTTTTTAAAATTTATTTTTCTTTTATGTGTATAAGCGTTTTGCCTGCATGTATGTAGGTGTACCATGAGGATACAATGCCTGCAGAGGCCTTCAAATGGAGTCAGATCCTTTAGAATTGGAGTTACAGGTGGTTGTTAGCTGCCATGTGGGTGCTGGGAACTGAACCTGGGTCCTCTGCAAGAGCAATCAGGGCTCTTAACCTCTGGGCCTGAAAAACATATTTTTTAAAAGCAAAGCAAGTATCTCTTAGTTCTCAGTTGGACTCTAAGTTGTATAAAAATAATTTTTCTGGGGACTGGAAAGATGGCTCAACACTTAAAGAGCACTGGCTGCTTTTGCAGAGGACACAGGTTCCATTCCCAGAACCCGTATGGTGGCTAACAACCATCCGTAACTCCAATTCCAGGGTATCCGACACCCTCTTCTGACCTCTGTGGGCATCTCACAACACAGGTGCACTTACACACATGCAAATAATACACCCATACACATAAAATAAACATATTAAGTAAAAAATATTTAAAAAAGAATTATTTTTCTGGGCTGGCAATATAGTTCAGCAGGTAAAGGTGTTTGTCAGCAAGCCTGATGATCTGAGTTTGATCCCCAGGACTCTACATGATAGGAGGAAAGAACTGACTCCTACAAATTGTCCTCTGATCTACACACACACACTGTGGCACATGAGCACGCGTACACACACACACACACACACACACACACACACACACAGAGTAAATAAAATGTGACAAAAATATAAATAAAATGTAATAAAATTTTTAAATATTTTTCCTCTTTTAAACTTAAGTCCACTGTTCACGGCCTGTGACTAGAAAGCAAGCACTACCTTTCTCTTGTTGTCAAGCCTTAAAAACATCTGGTGGAGCAGCAGCTGTTCCTGTTTCTGGTCATTCTTTGCTACACTATTGGCTTCACTTTCTGTGAATTAAGAAACAGTAGATAAATATATATATTATATATGTATGTAAGAAGACAAATCCAACTAAATGATAAAATGCAAAGTCTGACTGTGATGGTGATGGTTAGTGTTAAGTAACTTGACAGAATCACCTGGAGACAGGCCTTTGGAAATGCCAGTGAGGGGGATTATCTTGGGTATACTAACTGACGTAGGAAGACCCATCTTGCCTGTGGGTGGGACTATTCTCTGGGCAAGGGATCCTGGATTACATAAAATAAAAGAAAGGCAACTGAGCAATCGTGTGTATTTAGCCCTCTCGGATTTCTGACTGTGGAGGCAATGTGACCAGCTGCTTCAAGCTCCTACTGCCTTGACTTCCCTATCTTGGATTGTGAGCTAAAATAACATTTTTTTTTGCCCTTAAGTTGCTCTTGTCAGGGTATTTTATCACATTAACAGGAAAAGAAATTGAAATACTGACCTTCAATCTTTATTGAACAAAACAAGAAAAAAAATATCCTAAGTATAAAGACGGAACACACTTAAACAAAGTACAGGTGTTTCAATGACCTAAGGCAACTGAAAATAGTGCTGTCTATGAATTAAGTCACTGCCAGACTGCTGCTTAAATGAACATGCCAAAATTACAAACTTGACATAAATGTCTATAAAGCATTGCCTAAGGGCCCTGAAAGAGAAGTACAGACAAACCAGGAAGCAGAGGGTGAGGTTCCTTCCTCTCATACATTTTTCCCCTAAACTAATAAACTCTCCCTAGTAACCAAATGATTGCTCGGGTAAAAACAGTGCCCTGTGTGTGCTGTAGAACATCCTTCTGGATCAGTTTTCATTTCTACTATCATTAGAAACATGCAGCAACAAGGAAATAGAGTGATGCGACTTTAACGCTGAGCTTACCAGAGGCACATGCACCTGCAGCTGCAATGTTTGCAGCAGTTTAGGGCAGGGATGCTCCATTTATAAACCATTCTATTTAGGCTAACAAAGAAGGTGATAACCAGCAGTTCTCTATCAACTGGCCTTGCTTTGCCCTCCTCTCTTGAGGACATCTGGCAATGGCTAGAGACAGTTCTGACTGCCATTACTGGGGGCTGATGGAAGTGTTCCTGACATCTGGTGGACTGAAGTCATGGATGTTGCTAAACATTCCACAGGGCATGAGACAGCCCTGCAACAAAGAATTATCTGGTCCAAAATGTCAACAGAACTGAGCTTAAGAAAATGCTGGACTGGGTCATCAAGGAGCCAAAATTAACCATTTACTCATAAAACATTTGTTAACTATGTTGTCTAACATAAACACACACACATACACACACACAAAATACAGCCTTTATTCTTACCTCTATTCTGTGAGGTTTTGCATTTAAAGTCATATTCATCTTGTAAATCTTCTAGGGTCTTGATTTCATGCTCTATGCACTACAAATAAAAATATAAACATGTTTTCCAATACCGTGAAAGATGAACTAGACTTACAAAAGTCTACTCACATACACACAATACTATGTATTGTGTTAATAAGAATGTAGTAACATTTTTCAGAAAATGTAAAATTTCTCAAAATATCACCTAGTTCAGGGCCTAAATTTTTATTTTTCCTTATCGTTTTGTGTGTGTGCGTGTGTGTGTGTGTGTGTGCGCGCGCGCACATGTATGAGTGTCTGTATGGTATAGGTGCATGTATGTGGGTGTCCATGCTCTTAGAGGCCAGAGACCGTCGGGTGTGCTGCTCTATCACTTTCTGCCTTATTTCCTTGGGACGGGGTCTCTCACTGAACCTGGAGCTAGGCTGGTAGCCAGCAAGTCCCAGCAATCCTCCTGTTTATACCTGCTGCCACCATAAAGCACTGGGGTTATGGCCATGCCCAGCTTTTTACATGGATTCTAGGGATTTGAACTCAGGTCCTCATGCTTACACAGCAAATGCTCTTACCCACCTGGGAGCTATCTCCCAAGCTCTTCCTTATCATTTAAAAAAAATATTTTATTATTTTTATTTTATGTGTATGCATGTATTGCCTGCATGTACATAGGTAAATGTACCCGTGTCATGCAATGCCCATGGAGGACAGAAGAGGCTGTCAGATCCCCTGGAACCAGAGTTATGGACAGTTGTTAGCTGCCATGTGGGTGCTGGGATTTGAACCCGGGTCTTCTGCAAGAACAGCCAGTGTTCTTAACTGCTGAACCATCTCTCCGGCCCTTCTTCCTTATCATTTCTGAGATGACCTCTCAGTGTGATTTAACAGCCTCATTGTGAAGCAATACAGTAGGGAGAAAACAAGCTCATGGAAAACCTGACTCCTTATGTGCAAGAAGGGTGACCATACCTCCCTGCTCAACTGGGACAGTCCTGTGGAATTCTTAACAGGGTCCTCTCAGCTATTCATACACATCTCCAGTTGGACAAGAAATTGCATGGTCGCCCTACAAAGAAGACTCATTTGTTTCATACTTCTGTATATTCTTCATCTGGATTTCCCTGGGCATGTCCAGATCAAGGTCACTTGTTTTTTTCTACTTCAATGGAGTCCTTCCCTAATACACTGCAAGATAACGCTGTTACAGAATCTAGGCTACAAAAGATCCTGGTACCCAGATGGACGGCACTGCTGAACCCTCTGGGTACCCAGATGGATAACACTGCTGAACCTCTCAACTGGATGGCCTTTTCCACAAATAACCTTCCCAAGAAGAGTGAACACCAGGGAGCCCTTGCAGTGATTTGTTTCCATAACCTGTCTTTGAAGTGTTATCTTAAATTTCTGTAGACATCTCATGTTAATCAGAAATGTACTGAAATTAATTTGAATGAAACAGTTTTTGTTCATTTTCTAAGTTTTAGAATAAAACAGATTTTAAGGAAGATGGATCATGTTTATCCTGGAGCTCTGTGTAACTCTAGCAACATCCTGATTTGAGAAATGTAAAGGCCTATTTAGTGCAACCCCAGTATTTAGAAGTCATAACAGGAGTCATAAAAAAGCACAGTTGGTCACTGGCTTTACCTATTTGTTTACTTCCAGTTTAGTAGTATAATTTTCCTTCTCAAGTGCTTAAAAGACTAGTTATTGGGCTTACACTCAAAAAAAAAAAACTGAAGCTTTTTTCCCTTTCAGAAAGCTATAGAAAAAAAATGCACAAATATACTCAATACTCACCATAACTTGGTCCTTCACATTTCTGACTTTGCTGTCAAGTTCCTTCTGTTTGTCTAACATCACAGTGTTCTGAATATTCCCCGCCTGAGCCTTTAATAGGAAATGCATGGTTAACAGTCATCAGTTTATTTGACGTATTTACTCAATGATCACATTCCAAAGTCAATTCCACACCGCATGGCCTACTTACATCACAGACATTCCAAATCTTACTACAGGCTTTCTATAATTGCATGAATAAGAAATATCTCAATTTCCAAAACCTGGAAAATTCTGACAAACTTTTAACAACATTACAGAAAGTGTAGGTAGAGTTCATGCCTGGGATGTGTACAAATTTTCATTAATTCTTATAGTTATGTGACAATATATCAGGTTTGTCAGTTCTGTACACAGATTATCCATATTAGCCCAGCAAGTGTTTACCTTAAAAGTCTTATGATTCAAAGTGTGCTCCCCAGACCAGCAGCATCTTATTACCATGAGAGCTGGATGTAAATGGAATCTCAGGTTCTAATCTGCTGACTAAATCAGAACCCCATTTCCACTCCACCCTAGGTGATACAGAGGTATACTGAAATTAAAAAGCCCTGCCATTGAGGGCTTTAATGAAACTCTACTCAATTACAAAATCAATAATGAATATAAACCAGGACTCGCCTAATTGGTCCTTTTAAGACTCAGAGACCAGTGTCTTTGCTCATCACATTGGGTAGACCCTAGCGTGTGCATTCAGCATATACTTACTAAGTAATTGTCAGGTAATATTCTAGACCCAGCTGTTAGGAGTAGTAACACAATGGTACCTGCTTTCACAGAGTTCAAATTCTAGAAAGATAGGATTTTTGCCTAAAGTTTCCACACAACAAAATTATGCCCATCAACCTTTCTTGCCATGTCCTTCACAGCATAGATTCTACCTGGGTTTTATATCATAATAGAAAATTTTGCTCTGCTGAAAGATATAACTGAATTCACCCATTCTTCCCTAGTGCTTGTGTTTATTTTTATCTTTATTTTTAATATCTTGTATTTTACCTTTTAAAATAGATTAAAATTGCACATAGTAATGACCATGTGATGCTTCAATTTATTAACCATTGGGGATGTTTGAATCGGAGTAAACATATCTATCTCCTCAACCACATGATTTATTCATGGTAAAAACATTCAGAATCGTGTATAATTTAACATCCTCTAGCTTTCTGACCTACATAGTGCATAACTATTATTATAGCTATCCTACTATGAAGTATCAAAACAGAGCTGCTCTTTTTTCACTTTTAGATCTATGAACTATTTGAAATTTATTCTTTATTCTGTTTTGTTTTGAGACAGAGTCTCATGTACTCTAGTCTGGCCTTGAACTCACTATGAAGCTGAGGATGTCCTTGAACTTCTGAGCCTTCTGCCTCTACTCCTGAGTCCTACGCATACATACTTGAAGAATGACAGGGAAATGTCAGATGAGAGCACTGTGCAAAGCGTTACCTGTTGTGTCTCTTACTATCCCCAACTCCCCTAGACACCAGGGCCTTCCTTCCCATCCAAAGAAGCCTTGGCCAGGTGTTTAACCCCTCAGGTGTCCTCTGAGGCTCAAAATTAAACCTCTACCTGGGTCATTTATGTTTTCAATAGGGAACTCAAAAGTGGGAAAGTCTTCAAGTCCCATGAACAGCCAAGGGGTAGGGTTGGTATGGCAGAGCAAAGAGCTCCCACTCTGGCTTCAATACCCACTCTAGGCTGAGGAGCTAAACATGAAAAGTGGCATGCTGTGTGCAAAAGTGGACAATCTGTTCTGCTGCCCACCTCTGCTCTTAGCTGTCCTCTCTAATGTATTTGAAATACATGGGAGGTCCATTGCATAGTGCTTTTAGGATAGGCAAATTTCCTCCACAAACCTCTCACATGCATGTCAGGGTGGAGACAGACACTCTTCTCTAAAAGGAGTCAAAGTAGCCAGCTTTCCTCTAAGGTTGATATGCAGCTTTGCTCTTTAGGTTCGATACCAAATGAACTAGCCAGCTTGAGTTTAAAATAATATTTAAATATTTAGCACAGCAAGGTGCTTTCATTGTCATTGGGGGATAGTAACTGAATGCCCAAGGAAAGAACAGGTTCCTAAGGGATATGATGAATGCTCGGGAAGGCAGCGAGAATGGCCTTTGCCACTACCACTTCTGTCTCTGTCCTTCCCCACCATGACACGGTTCACCATTATCTGTCAGTGAAACACACAAGGCGTTGATTTTACTGTGTCCTCTGCATTCTCCTTCTGTGTTGGAAAGGTCTGGCTAGAACAACTCATACATCAGCTTCACAACTGTCTGCCTACCATTCTCACCACTGCATTGCTCAAGAAAGGGGGAAAAAAAGTCACTGTAACTGCAACCCTCCCCTGCTAAACCCTGGCTGCAAGATGATTAGTAAAACCACCATCAGAAACCTTAGTAATGCTAAAACTTTGACTCATTTACTGTTTGGAGGTCTTGAATATTTAATGAGCGTCTTAATCTAGTTCAAAATAAAGTCTTTGATCTTCCCATTAAACTCTTCTTCTCCCTTAAAAATCTGTTGTGTCCTGGAAAGAAAAGTCCTGTTCCTGCCTTGTTCCCTGTCTTCTCACCCCAGTAGACAGCATTACCATTCTCCAAGTGACTCAAGTCCCAACTGTGGAGGCATCCTTGATTTCTCACTCTCCCAAAACATAACAAATTGTTAATCTGTGTACTGTTTCCTACCTTCGTGGACTCTGAGTGTCTCTCATGGCCACCCCTTTGCACAGCTGCTAGAACCCGATGCCTTCTGCCTGCTTCCATTCCTATACTAGAAGCTTCCTGGCCCTGACCTAAAAAAAACCAGCCCCTACCAGTCATCTCATAACCCAATATGGTATCTTTACCACAGTTAACACTACCTATAAGTATCTCATTTATGTGTTGTACCTCTCTGTACTAGAAATTAATTCCATTAGATAATAGTCTTTCATAAAGTCCAGTTCTATAGAACCTCTAAATCTGACCTCTGCTTCCTGGCATTACAAAATCAAAGGAATATTCATCATTCTCTTAATCTGGGCCTTAGTAACATCTGTGAAATGAGCAAATGGAATTCTAATTGTTAGTATTCAGTTAGGAAAAAGTACCTGATTAAATCTCTGGGCATTTTCTAAAATCTTCCTTTCTTCCTTCAGACAGCTGTAGATGATCATAGACATTTGCACCGGATCTTCTTGAAAATTATCCTAGATATAGATGGTTGGGATAAAAATCAGTTCAGAATGTTTCATTCAAAGATTCTTAAACTGTAGGCCATGATGGAATATGAATGTTTCAAAAATTTTGCCAATGAAAGGCTTCTGAATATACAACAATCAAACATGAATTCACAGTCCAATGAATAATGAATCGGAGGTTGGTTTGGGCCATGTCACCTGTGTTGCATCACAACTTCACCACAGCCTTGGTTCTGAGCACACAGCCATGGGTACTTTGCATAGCACTAGGCTTCATGCCACGTAATACCAAATGGCCTGAAGTATGTCGGCTCAGATTACAGACTACCACATGGTATGAACTGCATTGTTTGTAGTCTATAGACAAAGTTTGCTGCTCTTATAGCAATATAATGGTTTAACTATGGAAAACAATGACTTTTAAAACGTGCTAATGTTATTCCTCAGTCTGTATCAAATTAGTATATATCTGAATTTTACCATGTGAGACAAACAAGTATTCTATTTATTTATTTATTTTTATTATTATTATTTGGGGGGGGGTCTTTTTTTGAGACAGTGTCTCCCTGTAACCTCAACTGGCGTGGAACTCACTATGCAGTCTTGAACTCACAGAGATTTGCCTGCCTCTGCCTCTCATAGTGCTCGGATTAAAGGACACCACACCCGGCTAAGTATTCCAGTCATTAGTATCTGAACTTGCTTTCTTCTTTAATAAATGAGAGAATTACAAGTATATTAAAAAATTGTTTTAAATAAATTTCTTTTTTATTTCTTATCAGTAAATGTTAGTTTTATATACTTACTTTATATACCAATATACCTGAGGTTGTGTAAATACTGCTTTGGTGAAAAGGAGTCATTAGTAGAAAAAGTTTGTATTAAACAACAGTGTATCATAAATAAATATGAATTTTTTATATTCCTTAAGAAATCCTTTCCCCCCCCCCTTTTTTTGAGACAGGATCTCACTGTGTAGCTCTAACTGGCCTGGAACTCACTATGTAGACCAGTCTAGCCTCAAATTCACAGTGATCTGCTTGCCAAGTGCTGAGATTAAGAGAAATCTTAGGTTTTACCTAATAAATTTTCCTTAAGCTATTTTTGTAGAAAATACAAAATAAATTAGGACAAAATTCACTTTAACTTAACCAAAAGTGAATATCTTGATTTAAAGACAAAATATTTTCACATGTGGAATTTTTTTGGTGCTAGGGACTGAATTGAGAGCTTCAAGCACAGTAACCACACTCTTATCACTGAGCCACACTTAAACTTCTTCATAAATGCTTTAGTAACTTTCAGTAGTTCCTAAAGCCAACTGTCTTCTGTTAGGATATGGAGACAATGTAAACTACTTAAGAACTACTCATGATAGTCTTCAACTAATTCCTCAACATAGAATGGAAGTTGGCCTATGCTTTGCATTAGACCAAAGACATTCACCTCCATTTCCCCATGTCTGCTGTCAATCATGCACTTTATAACAATTAGAATGGAGCAAATTCTGAATAAGAAAAATTTCACACAGTTAATCTGATTTCTGAAAGGGGCAACTCCACCAGAAGCAAGGCAAGCTGGAGTCTAGTCACCCACTTACAACTAGGCTGCAGGGAAGTCAAACATCCCTGGAGTCAATCCTTATCTGTACATCTAAGGACTTAAGACCTAAATGACCCCTAAAATTCCTTAGAGCTTAATGTGTTATCATAGTTCACTGCTCTGAAAATTAATCCTTTTTCTTTCTTTTAAATATTAACTAATTTTTAGTCAATGAGTGTATGCTCAGTAGCATCTGTTGAAATAAATGTTATAAATATAGAAATACTTCGATGACAACAAAAAAACTAAGTCATACCTGAAGGTTCCGCTTGCTTTTCCTTATATTATGCTGCAACAAAAAATTATTCTCCAAAGAAAAGCGGCTGTACTGATCATCCAGCTGAGACAGGAGGTCATGGAAAAGAATGGTGGCAAATGAATCATCATAAGCAGCATGTTCCCTGCAAGATTCAGAAGGGAAATGTGTCATTCCATGGACTACTTCAGCCAAAAGAAACACCGTTATTGAAATAATTGAAAAGTGATTTTAGGTGTTCTTAAGTTTATTTTCTTTTTAATCTGACATTTTTATTATCAATTTTGCACAATATTTTTATTGCATATTTACTATACATAAACTATAGTACGCTTAAGAGATTGTACAGAAAAACTATTCATGACTCATTTCCAAAAAAATCAACAGGGACATTTGCTTTCTAATACTTTTAGAATGGTTAAATTTTTTGCAATAATCAAATAACAAATTTAAAATATAAAATGCTCAGTGACTAATGGATTTTGGTCCTTTGGCCACTGGTAAGATCATTTCTGTAAACACAGCTCCATTAACATCTTCATTAACCATAAACTTCTTTCCCTAACCAGCAAGTTTTGCTTACCAGTCTTGTTTTTCTAGCCACTGAGCCAGGTACTGCCTGATTTCCATAGGAAAACTATCATCATAAAGCTGGTGAACCTGCTCCAGGAATTTGGAGTCCAGCTGCTGCAGCTCATACCACTGAGACATCCTATAGGGAAAAAAACCAAACCAAATACACATCAAGAATGGACACAGAGTTCCAAGTGAAGGGTCACTTAACTTGCTTAATGCAAGACATAATTTATCTCTGAAAAAAATATTACTTAAATGTTATCTGTATCCAGTGTTTGTTTTTTACTGGGCTTTGGGATCTTTTTTTTTTCCTTCTTTGAGAAACACATCTTCAGATCTGAGTTCAAATGTTAGGGCAGCCTTATTTCAATAGCAACCACCTCTGAGATATTTTTCTTTACAGCATTACCAATTCCCTGACTCACCACATATATTTTCTTTTTTACTTTGTTTTTGTCTAAGGACGGGAAGGATGAGGGAAAGAGGCGCTGTTCATTGCTATAATCCTGAGAATGATGTCAGGCACAAACTAGGTATCTAACAAATATGACTTTAAAATAATTTATGTTTTATCAAATAAATAAGTGGAAAACTTTATTGGAATTAAGACAATTCCAAGCACTTTCCAAAAACTGTTCCATACAGTACATTTTTGAACTGGTATTTTATACTTTATGATTCTTATGGTAAAGTTAAATATTTTTATTAAACATTTTTAAAGAGATTCATTTTTTTCTGTGCCTTCTACAAACAACAAATCTGGCACAAAGAAGTCCTAAATCTCAGTGGTGATTTGTTTTGCTTTATTGTTGTTTTATAGAGGTCAGAGGTTGAGGTTAGGCTATCTTCAATCACTTTTCTACTTTTTTTGTTTGTTTTTTTTGAGACAAGGATTCTTATTGATAGACTGCTGACCAGTGAGCCCTGGGATCTATTTCTGTTTGTCTCTGTTCTCCAGCACTGGGGTTAAAGGTGCATGTCACCCCCAATTTTTTTTTAATGTTATGTGTTGGGAATCTGATTTTGGATTCTCATGCTTGCACAGTAACATGTCACCCAGTGAACCATCTCTCCAGTCCCTCAGTAATAATTTTTAAGCATGTACACAAAAGCCAGGCATGGAGGTACAAACCTGAAATCCCAACACTTGGGAAAACTGAGGCAGCAGGAAGATCATGATCTCAATACCAGCTTGAGCTACATACTAAGTTCAAGACCAGCCTAAGTAACACAGTGAGTCACTATCTCAGAAAAAGAGAAAGATTTCAAAAATCATTATTGAGTATAATTTGAAAGGTTAAGGTAATACTTATCTTTATAGGTAACTATGAAGTCAATATTTATATAACAAATTCTAAAGATTAAAAATTAATCTAAATTAACAATTTAAGAAAGTCTTATGATCTATTAGGAAAACAGTCTCCTATGATCATCATGTAACAGAATTTACATCAGCACACGATGAGGTCAGCATATGGTGAATATATCCGGCCAGACTTTGAGGAAAAATTCTGTATTTGAAAGTAAGGTATGGAATCGTGATATATGCCTGATATCAAACACACGTGTGCAGGCATGTAGTCATCCCTGCTCCATAAATGTCCTTCTAGAGGAACGCAAATAAATTTCTAGACTACAAAGCTAGTTATCATTACAAATACCGTTAAAGAACGACCAAAGTCTACCACTGTAGCATACCTGTGTGGCCACCTGAATTTTTACTTCAAACTTATTTTACCTGTATAGAAGTCCAAATAAGTGGCTCTCTCCTTGCTGGTGATGTGCCTAAAGAAAATATGGGCTGTCGGCCAGTGAGACCTACGGTGTCTCTTAGAAGCCAAGTGCTCAAACAACTTACTCCCCTAGCTACAGGTGGTTAAGACTGTGCAGAGCATACATAACACCTGGCACAAATGAGGTGAATCAATAGATTCATGTTAGCAAATCCAGAGTCAGTTTCATCTCCTAAAATCTGGTATTAAATCTGGGAGCGGCAAGACTTATCTCCCAATCACCTGGCTCAAATTCTGCATTTAAGGCTGACTCCCTCCTCTCTAGCCTTAAGACCAGCTGGCACACTGCCTCCAACACTCTATCCTCCCAATCCAACCTCTACTGCAGATGCAGGGCCACATCCATCTTCTGTACAAAATGCTACTGGTCTGTCCCTTCCTACAATGACTGCTGCCTTCCTCATCTCCTTCCATCAACAAAGTAACTCAGGAACCAAACTAATTACTGTTTTCCAAATGAACTCAACATTTCTGCTCTGTCCATCTGCTACTCACTCTTGCTAATAGCCATCTCACAATTTCTGCTTCTCTAAGTCATCCTAGCAACCAAAGTTCTGTACAAATGGCCCTTTTCCCCTAAAGCTGTAGGAGAGATTTGCTTTCTTTGGCCTATGCTTTGCTGTGTTCTGTGTCTATTAGAGCATGAATTCCAGTCTTCTGTGTGAAACTCTACGTCTGTCTCTGATGTACGGTGAAAGCATCAGAGCCTCAAAGGGAATAATTTTTGCTTTTAACATCCTCTGGACCCTGAACAGTGACCCGTATATGGCTCAAACCATATAAGTAAGTGTTACTGAGCACATACCAGTTTGTTCAGCTGAAACCTTGTATATTTCAGGAGGAACTGGAAAGTAGGAGGCAAACCCTATTATGATCCCACAAGTTTTGAGTCCAGTATCCTCATTCCTCAACAGAGCACAGTGCATTGTACTGGAGGCTCAAATCCTATTTCTGCCAGATAAAAACAACTTCCTCTCCAACTTATAAAAGCACCCAAAGCACAATCGACCACTCATCTATATACCTACCCCTGAACTCGAAGGTAGTACTCTGAAATGGTTTTTAAAGTAGTTATATTATTTGTGGTTCTGCAGGAACTGAGTATCAATTAAGTTCCAGATCAGTAAGGTCCTCCTCCCTAAGGATTGATACATAATTAAGATTCTAAATTCATTTCATGAACACTTACTGACCTGCCTCCTGGTACCCCACAAAGGGGTTAGGGATTCCACACAAGCAACCAATACACACAGCAAGTTAGGTGCCAAGTCTGTGGAGCTGCATACACTGGGTGCGCGTCTACCCCAGACAGCTCCGAAGGCTGGTATAGTGCCAACGAAACTGTGAGAAGAAAAACACGTTACAGTGGTGGAAAGTGGCCCTGCTCGCACTTGGGGCCCTCGGGTGACAGGTCGGAGGCCAGCTTCCGCAGCCCGGGGCCCCGACAAGCGGCACCCCACCCAGGCCCCGGAGCCCCGCGCGCACTCACTGCACACAGGCGCCCCGGGCAGGCTCTCCCCGCGCCCGCTCCCCTCAGCTCGGTCCCGGGAGGCTCTGTGGGGCGCGGTCCTCAGATGCAGCTGAGTGCTGTACAGACTCCGCGCTGGAAAAAGAAAGAACCTTGGGGAAGAAAAGACCCTGCGGCGCCCGGCCTCCTTCCACCTCTGCCAATCACCCCGTTTCCACGCCCAGCCAATCGGACGCGGCTGTTCCGCCAGCACACCGCCTCCCTCCGGTGATTGCCTCTGGCGCTTCCTGTCCTCCCCAGCCTAGGGGCGGCGCTCCAGCTGGGGAGACATCGAGTGTCCCGCCTGAAAGTTCTGTTTGCACGTTTGCGGAACAACTGAAAGGAAGTTTTGTGTTTGCAGAGGCCCAATCTTGATTCATTAGTCCCATCACTGAGAACTTGGGCAGGAGACAGAGTTGGGGGCGTTGTCGTTAGTTTAGCAGTTGACCTTATAAACGTCCGTTTTACTTGACCTTTTGGAACTCTGACGCAGTTGACGCCTTCATTCCTTGGTCACGATGACAACGCCTCCTGGCGTCTAGAGCCTCGCAGGGGTTCTTTCTCTAAGGCCTCTACCTCCGCTACCAAACCACTAGTGCAATGAGAAAAGTCAGGGTCTGGACCTTGATCTATTCTTTACCTACCCTTCTCGCATTGTGCCTGTGATGACCTCACCCACAGCTTTTGGTGTCCTTTTAGATGAAACTCCCCTAAATGCATCTCTTCCCACACTCTTCTCCAAGCTCCAATTATTTCCCACTGACAGCCTCTCCTTGACTATCCAGTGACTTCTGCAAACTAATTATGAAGTCATGATTTTTCAGACTACCGCTTACTTTGGAAATGGTGTATGCCAAGTAGTAGAAGTTATCCTTGACATGGCCTTATCCCTGGCTCCCCACACCTGGTCCTCAACCCTTGTTGGGTTTGCTCCTCAGTATTTCCTAAGTCTCATTTACTTCATCTTTTCTGCCACCCCCCATCCTCTTATTTGGGTTATTGCAGTAGGTCCTCAAATGACTGCCTTGCTTCAGCTCGTTTTGCCCATTTAATTCATTCTCCATACAGCTGCTTTAGTGATTTTTAATTGCAAAGCTGATCACATCATGTGCGAACATAAAATCTCATGATGGCTTTTCTTGCTTGCTCTTAGACAATTCACGTTTCTTAATCTGGTTTATAAAACCATGGCTCCCCTCTCTTTCTTACCATCTCGTGCCACTTTTTTCTTTGCTTGCTTCAGCATTTTTGTTCTTCAAATAAACCAAACACTTTCCCCAATCTCAAAGTCTTCTAACCAATAGTTCTCTCTTTGGAAAGTCCCTTGAGCCAACGTCTGTGTTTCCTAACTTCTTTGCTGGCTAAGCTTAAAATCTCAGATCAAATATCACTTTCCCAGGTAATGCAGCACTGAGTCCTGACTAGATCTTCTTGGAACATATGCCCATGAAAATATTGGTTCCATCTAGTAGAAATTGAATCAAACCTTGAATAGTAAAGTACCTTTGGGTAGGAGAAGGACCTAAACAATTCCCCAGGGATGTGCATATATGCATGCATATTATAGTTTTTATTCTTTCTCCATCTATGTAGCTTATTGTCACACATGCATCCTCATAAAATCAGCACAGATATCACGTCTATTCCTGCTCCTCCCCAAATGTCTTTACCTTTCTTTCTAGTCTTGTCACTCATTGTCAAACCTGTTCATGTCTTGCCCTTTCCCTCATGATTTTAATTGTAATTCTTCCTTATTACAGTTTTTGAAGTTTCCAAGTCTTATAATTTCTAATATTTAAAGCTTCTGGATGAAAAAAAACATATTTATTTTAAAGGTGTGATTGTAAGGTATCAGCTGCCTTAAAAAGTAACCAGCGCAGCCGGGTGTGGTGGCACACATCTTGGAAGGCAGAGGCAGGTGGATCTCTATGAGTTCAAGGCCAGCTGGTCTGCATAGTGAGCTCCAGGTCAGCTGGGGCTACAGGAAGACCCTGTCTCAATAAGACCAAAATAATAATAATAGTAATAATAATAATAATAATGATAATAATAATGATAAAGTAACCAGCCCCAAACCAAAACAGAAACCTAGAGGATGAGAAATTTCCAGACACATGATAGCTATCTTACAACATTCAGTTTGGGAAGTTACATCTTTATAACAACAACATCAAATATTCAAAAGATATAAAACTGAAAAACAATGTCATGTCTGGTAAATTATATTATTTTCAAATCTTTTCTTTCCCTTCCTACCCTTTGTCATGGGGTCACTAGGGGTAGAGCACTCCTTTCTGTGCCCTGACTCGGGCTGTGTGACTTCCTCTGCTAAAGGAATGGTAAAAGTTGTGACATACACATATGACCTGAAACTGTCTGTTCTTTGCCATCAGCTTGTCCTTGTACGCTCCTTCCTGTGCCAGGAGATGATACACCTCCAAGAAGATGAGCCTGCTTGAGCCTGCTACCTGAAGAGTCTCTCCAGTTGACCTACAGGCCCACGATGAGAAGTATGTTAACTGCCACTGTGTATCTCTGAGATTCCCTCATCCCACTGAAATAACTACTTTACAGATGACAAAATGTGTGTTCTCAATTTTCTTAAAAAATAAGAATGCTGCTGTGCTAAAATGAATGGGATAACAATATCCAATAAATGCAAAGACTTGCATTGGACTTAAAAGGTCAACAAATGGCAAGAGTCCCTTTTATATCACTAGTAATCAGAAGAATTGGGTACGAGGAAATTCATGCTTTCCCATTCCTGAACTGGTGTGTAGGCAAAAGAGAGTCTAAGGTAATAAGAAGTCTAGAAATTCATATGATGTCACAGTAGAAAGCCTCATAGAAACCATTCCAGATCTTTCATTTCAAGAACATTTATTTTTGCTTGGAGAAAACCAAGCAGAAATATCTCTATTCCTTATTTTCCCTTCTTCTGTTCTCCAATTATTCAGTTGTATTCATTGGTTATACTTCCCTCCTTGCACAAAGCATTTAAAGTAATAACAGAACTATTTACAATGACTAGAAACAGAAATATAAAGATGATAATGCAACCAGCCAAGGTAAAAAGATAGATATTATAATTTATATATCTCTTATAACAAATTAGAAAGGATCTTTTGGTAGATTATTTTCAGTAATGACCACGTGATTCTCTTCTCTGTAATCTACACCTCTTTGCAATGTGACTGTGACTTTAGCAGGTGGAGGGGACTGTTTCCCCAACCATTGAATCTGGGCTGAATTGTGACTTGCTTTGACCAATATTATGCAGCAGATATGGCACGGTGTCTGTTGAGGCTAGATTTATATAGTCTCAGAGCCCTATGTCTCTATGACAAGTCGAGCTAGCCTTTTGACGGATGAAAGACCACATGGGCCACAGCTAATATCAACGCTATTGTCCACACTCAGACCTCAGACATGTGAGAAAATCCAAGCAAGATCAGATGGGCCTGACCCAGAGGGCAGAACTTCATCCCCTACTCTAGATTCACAAGCAATCAGAAATGGTTGTCTTACCTTACTGAGTTTGGGATTAATTGTATTTATTTTTTTTTTAATTTATTTTCTTTTTTTGGTCTTTTTGAGACAGTGTCTTCCTATAGCTACAGCTGACCTGGAACTCACTATGTAGGCCAGGCTGGCCTCAAACTCACAGAAATCAGCCTGCCTCTGCATCCCAAGTGCTGGGATTAAAGGTATGCGCCACCAGACCAGGCTAGTTGTATTTATTATATATTTTAGATACCAGATCACTGATAGAGATCTTGTAGAGAGCAGGGAAGAAAGCATACAAGAACTGAATGCTAAAATAAACACTCTGAAGTGGAACAGCCCTGTTTTCTTTCCCCATGGTGTTCCCCCTGGAGCCTCTTATCTTCAAGGAGTATCTTATCTGGTTTATACCTCCCACACCGTCCTCAAAAACAAAAACAAAACAAAACAAAACAAAAAAAACTTACTAGCTTTGGACTTTCTTCACAGCCTTGATCTGTTTTAAAACGGCAGCAAAATAGCTGATGAACAAACCTACAGAAAACTGTGCCGAGACTTCCTCTCCCCTCTCAGCTAACCTGTTGTACTTTAGCTATACTTTCCTAATGTCAGTAGTATTGTTGCAATTCAAATATCTCAGTAGGAATTTCTAAAAACACCACCCTCTTCACCCCTACTCACCAACTGTAAACCTTGCTTCTAAGCAGTCGTAAGAATGCCACTTCTATGATGTGCACCCTATGTGCTCATCTGGGACGTGGTGAGACAAAATGGGAGCACAGCAGAAATACATTAGATTTGAAATTATTTTAGGTCTCTGGATTTGGTGTTTCTTTGGCAGTTAATAGTAGTCCTATAGAAGCCCCTCATATATAGCTGCTTGTTAGAATGCAGTGTACCTGTCAGGTTGCAAACACACTTGCTATATGCACATGGCGTATTTCTCCCCAATACGAAGTAAAGTCATGAATATTTTTGAGAAAATGGGTACGTGCTGCCAATCCATCTTCTTTTTTTTTAAAAAAAAAAATTTGCTGGGCGTGGTAGCACGGGCCTTTAATCCCAGCACTCCGGAGGCAGAGGCAGGCGATCTCTGTGAGTTCAAGGCCGGCCTGGTCTACATAGTGAGTTCCAGGACAGCTGGGGCTACAGGAAAACCCTGTCTCAAAAAAGACAAAAATTTGTTTTTATTTATTATTTTAATTTTGTGTGTATGAGTGTATTGCCTGCATGTATGTGAGTGCACCCATGTCGGAGTGCGATGCCGCGGAGGTCAGACGAGGGCGTTGGATTCCCATGGAACTGGAGTTAAGGATGGTTTGTAGCCATGTGGGTGCTGGGAATCAAACCCGGGTCCTCTGCAAGAGCAGTCAGTTCTCTTAACTGCTGAGCCATCTCTCCAGCCCCACCATGTTCTTTTTACTAATTACAAGTGGCATATCATGCAGAATTCTATTTAAGATTATAATGTAGAGAATACAATCAGACTGTAGAAAATTTACAATATTCTTGGGCTTAAAGGCAAGCTACTATTAAGGAAATGAAAGGTTTATGCAGGAGGGTACTGTTCACTGCCGCTCTACTTACATGGATGAAAAGTTGGAAACAGACCACTTTTCTGGCCGAAAATTAAAAAGCACAATTTAAATGTCAGAATATCAGTTATGCTTTCAAAGGC